TGGCAATCCATTCATTCACTTATTCACAATTTTTTAACGTCATTATTTATTCATTCACTTTTATCTCATTCACTCAGGTCCAAGGCTCGCCTACTCACTCACCGGCTTAGGTCATCCGGCTGGCTGACAAAAAATCGTAATCGGAAAGAAGAAATGTCATTTGGCTTCATGCAGAAGGCTTGAAACAAAATGCCCCCACTTTGGGGTATATGTGCGTCATAAGGTTTAAATTCGGAGGAATAGTGTATAAGTCACCTTCAGGCTGTTTGTTTGCCCTGTTAATGATGTGCAGTGTTGATATCTGGTTCAGTATTTAATTCAAGTTAATTGTTGGTGTTTTAGGAATCAGGGGCCTCTGTGTCTTGAGTTTGTTTAGGCACACAGTTACAGTTACGCCTCCAAACAAACCTACCTTGTAGGCGTCGTGGGTCGCATACACCTTGTCGAACAGTGTGTACAAGTCGTTTGGAAGATTGACACCATGTAATGGTGTAAACATTGCAGAGATGGTTGCAAACCCAACAGTGCCTCGATAAGCGGGTGGGATGCCTATTTGAAAAGGCTGAGTCTGGAAAGACAATAGAGGAAACTGGGTTTATTGCCAAAAGTGTCACAGATCAGGGCTGGATTATGCTAGCCCCTTTAAGCTTCTAAAACAAAGGCTATCCTGTGAGCTGTGTTGAGCCCTATTTACATCACCTAGGTCACTTGATTCCCAGTTTCATAGATTATTCTATGCCACATTGGCGTAGATGCCAAATGCGATATATTTTTAGCATTTTCCTTGAAAACACTTTATCCTTCATATTCAACTTACCAGAAACAGCATGCTGACTTAACCTAGGGCTATCCTTAAACCTGACAGGAATACTGCTGAATTACTTGACATAGCTGGCTGCTTCGTGTGAAGGTTATGATTAGCTTAGTTTGTTCTACTTGCACAATATTATCAGATCAACTTGGCGGCAATTGGTAATGGCAAGAAGGAATTACCTGTGGACGAAAAGGAGGCTTTTCTCTACCTATAACTCGTTCTAGAATTTCTCCCAATAGAATATCTTTGAGTCCATATGGCATTGTCTGGTATACGACTTCGTGCATTATTATGACGAATGCATCGATATTCCCAAACTTGGTTCAGAATGAAACAGCTGTCGCTTTGCGTAATAGTTAAGGGGAGGTCCATAATTTCCTCAGAGATCAGAAGTAATTGGAGAAGGTGCTGGATGTAACTCACCTTCAGTCTGGATTGAGGGACAACTGCTTGTTAAGTTGCAGATTTAGGAAATGACGAAATCGGTGATATTCAAGAGCCATCGGCAAGTGACAATGCATTTAGTGAATTTTGGCCTTCTGTGAGCTTTAAGGCTTGCGCTGTGAAGGTATTCCATTCCCTTGTAATACTGAATTGAAGGCAATTGCACAAATCAGAGGTGAGATGTTTTTTTTTAAATGACAGAAGGTGATATGCACTAACCTGAACAAAGTCAGATGTAGTACTTTGTTGTTGATAACACGTAAGACAAGGAAAAGCTTTTGTGTCAAGTGGGTGAATATAGGCACTCTCAGCAAAGAATTTTTCCCTAAACAATGAGCATTCATAGTGCTAAATAGGAAAGAAAAGTGAGTTTGACATGCAATATAGATGATGGTCCATTGAAAATAATTTCATGAAGTGTTTGTTAAACGGATAAAATCTGTGAAAGGAACTCGTCTGCTTTTCGTGCTGAAAGCGATTCTGATATAAATGCACAGACGTGTAGTTCTCACCACGTTTGTTGTGCATCGTTTGGATAAGGTGTGTTTTAGACTCTTATCAGCAAATGTGAAGATGCATCGCCTTCAATTATATTTTGCATTCTCGATGATAAAGTAAACAGTTAGTGATTGTTTGTAATAACTAGGGAGAATATTTGCGAGACTACCTTTTTCAATACAATATAAAGCAAAATTCTTGAAAAGTGCCAGAAAAGTCATTAGTTGGGAACAAAGCCTCATTTTTAATTTTAAGCAATAATGCAAGGCGTTATCACCTCACACCGCGGCCGAATCTTGAGACAACTGTCTCGAAGCAAAATTGTGATCTTTTCCACGGATTCAACACTAGTCGAGACTTCCTTCATCCACATTCTTGTAATCTGGTCATGATTTCAATTGTGATTGCATAAATTACGGCATTATTTGCTAATTCACATCACGTGTAGCTGTGAAGTAACAGCCTATTCTTCAGCTACTATAAGACTGAATGCGTTGCTGCCTTATGGTTGTTGTAACTCTTGGGTGATAACCACTCACTAGAGATTCTTCACACTGCTCTTCCACATTTAGCAAATAAAAAATGAGCGAGTGAATAAAAAAGGTAAGCCTAATAAGCATTCCTCTTAAGTGTACTTGTGCAAACAATGACTACATGTCCTGCATTGGCCTAATTTAATGCTTGAGCTTTAGCGAGCATGCTGGTACTGTTATTATTTTTCATCGATGTTGAAATGATCACCTTAGCGCACTGTCAATCGGCTATGAACTCACACGAACGTCGTTGAACTAATTAGTCCACATGACTTGTGATTGCAATGTGTGTTAGTCAGTTGGAAGTTACATTGACGTGTTACGAGATCAGGCCATTTCCTTCTCCTCTGTCCCCTAACCAGCGAATAATCGTGATTCTGACAAATTATCTCAATTTGAGATGACGCGATATCAGTGAACCTGGTCTGATTATTCTTAATAAAATTGTCACAACCTCGGTACTCCACAAATCGCATTTGTATAAAAAACCGCATAGGTCACACATGCCGAACAACTGACTATGTTGTAGAATTTTGCCTCTGAACTCTTTTTTAACGGCTTTTTTTGACATTGGGCAAGTGCTGACCAGATAGCATTACGTATTACATCTTGTGGTCAAACAAGCTTAAAGAATAATAAAGACCTTAACTGTCAGTGCTGAAATTCAAGTAGTTAAGGGCGGAGAGTCAGTGCTGCCCAATTGTTTAAAGCTTTC